TATGTCGTCGTTCTTGATCCCCTTAAGGCTGGTGACGGGGAGATAGCCGAGGAGGACCATGCCTTGCAAGGAGGGTTTCCGGCGCAGCTCCTTCGGGATGTTGCCGATGGTGAGATAAACGGGGTAAGCGGAGCGGTTGCGGAAAAGGGTGAGTTGAGTTTTGTCGGATGAGATGATGAGGGGGACGATGGTTGCGCCTGGGCGCTTCAACTCTATCCTCGTCTATACGGTATGTTAGTAGGTGGATGATGTCTATAATACTGAATACGCACCTGTATATACCACCACCATGTACCCGTATGCATATCCGAGTATGCCCTGTCCTCCTCGTCTCCCACGAGCACGAAATGCTTCTCCGGCGCGTAAATGAGGTGACTAGCGAAGTCCGGCCGCCCATAGAGCTCACGCAGTACCTCGAGGCCGTCGCGCATGTACATGTCCAGCTGTTCTCCCCCGAGCGCGTACGTCCGGCGTTTGAAGTTGGGCCTTGATGGCAGTTTGTTGTCCATGATCGCGTTGAGCGCCCGAGTGCTTGAAAACTGTAATCCAAGTCGGTCTTTGACCTATGGAGACGTGAGCACGATTGAATACGCAATTGAGGAAGATCACGTACGTCTTCAATCTGTAGTAGCGCCGTTAAGGCATTGGAGCCGATCGAGAACGACTTCGACCAGGACGCGATATCCCAATCCATTTTGGTGTGGAAGGGCAAGTACGGGTTGTCGGGATTGATGTCGCCGTCTATCCCCGCCTCGTATTGACTGTAAGGATCGCCAGGGTCATCATCCGGATTCAGAACTTCGCCCGCTCGATTGCCGAAGTGCTCGATTCTGCGCTTGACCTCAGGAGCGGGAGTCGGCGTACGTTCTGGTGGTGGCGGTGTCGGTTCGGGCGGCTGAGACCCACGATCCGACGGAGGTGGCGATGGCGGAGGTGAGGGGAAAGACCCAGGCGGTGGCGGGGATTCACGGTCTGAAGGGGGTGGCGGTGATGACGGGAGTGGCGGTGATGACGGGAGTGGCGGTGAGGAAGGGAGCACAGGAGAAGCAGGCTGTGACGGCGAAGAAGGTGGCGTCGGATCGCGGTCTGAGGCGCTTGATCGAGTGTGAGACAGGATATGTCGTACAGGACGGCGCGGTGTCGCGACGTCCTCGTCGTCCTCGTCGTCGGTGTACCTAGCGCGCTCCACTTCATCATCCTCCTCGTCTTCCCTATCCTGCTCCTCCTTGAAAAGCTCATCCTCGATTCGTCGGCCTCGCTCACGCGCTCGAGCGTAATCTTCTTCTCCCCATCCCAAGGGATCTTCTTCGTCATCTTCTAAGCCCTCATTCTTCACTGAGACGCGCTGTACGGGAGGGTCTCGAGCGTTGAAGTCGGCGTCTGCATCCGACTCTTCCTTCTCTGCCTGATCCTCTCCATCTAAGCCCTCGTCAACGAATTGCGGTTCCGCCTCAGCGAAGTCCAGTTCCCCGTTGTCGAATCCTACTCCACCCTCACCCGCTCCTGCTATACCGGCACCTGCACCTCCTTCGTCGACATCCTTCTCAACACCAATCCATTGCTCGTCAGGATCGACGTCAGCCATGCGAGCGTCAGCAGGTACCGCGCTAAGACGCGAAGACGTGAATCGCGCGAGGCTCGCGTCGATAGCGCGCTGCAAGCCCAGAGTGTTCTGTGAGCTGCATACCGAATCCTTCTTCACCCTGGCCCGGTGCAGGCTTAGACCTTTACTGGATTTGTAGTGTCGCGGGCAAGTAGGGCACTTGAACTTCTTCGTGCGCCTTGGCAGGCTCCTTGACGGATTCGCGTTCGCCGGTGCATCCTCGGGGTCGATTGGTTCGGGTTCCGTTTCCTCGGCCGACGCGTACTCAACTCCATCATCACCGGTGTGTGAATGACCGGATGGGCCAGCTATCGAATGTGAGGTCAATAACACTGTCCAACAGCAGGTAGATGCAAACTGACCCTCTGCGTTTCCCGCGCCCCCGCGTAGACAATAGCGGACTTCGATAGTCGAGTTATTGCACATGCCGGCCTCCAGCAGATCCTGGTGCCGATGCAATAGACGCGGTAAAGATCCGTCCGCCGGGTGCAGCAGGAGCGTATAGGATAGCCGCTTTCCCGCGCGATTGCGCAACACAAGCAGGCGCCGCTCTAGCTCATGCACAACCCAGGCAGTGGAGGAACCGAATGGTACGCCTGTAGAATATTGAAGGATTAGAACTGTCTTTAGATCGCTTATACACACTAGCACTTACGTAGAAGTACGCCCTTAGTAGATGGGCCCACGATGAAGACGTTGTAGACTTGATGACGGCGTTGCGCACGGCTCATCGGCGGAGACCCATAGCAGCCGTACCGGTGCCTACACCAGATAATGCCGATGACGCAAAGTGCGACTTCGAAGGTAGATGAGAGTCGTCCGCCGTAGGTATCGAAGAATCGGCCAGCATAGCTCAAGACGAGGAGCAAAAGTGTGAAGATCGAATGTGTAAACCACCGGGCGTATAGGTCGAAGATGTAGGCGATACGGCGGTCCCGCCACCAGTAGGATGTCGAATATACTACCAGCAGGAGTGCACGGTAGTACCCAGTCGTATAGCCGGCGCGCATAGTAAAGGGACGGCGCGCCTGGGATGGCCTTTCAGCCACCCGCAGTCGCTAACACAGGGACAACCCGAGTGTTTTTGTAGCGGTAGGAGAGGCCTGAGCCCGTGTTGGAAGGATGGGGGGAGCAGGAAATGGATGGAGGCGGGAAGCTAGGATCTGCAGCACGGAGACGGTCAGTTTAGGAGCGTTTAGGATCAAGTTCCGCCAATTAGAAGGCAAAAAGATGGAATAACAGAGCATGTGTAACTAAGCGATGAACAAGGCGAGGAGACATGCGAAACGTGGGCGGTGATCGGGACTTCGCTTGCGGGGGTTGCGACGCGTACCCTTCCTCCCGAACCACCAACAGCGCGATGGCTCGTAATACTCGCTCCAGCACCCGCCCTGTCGCTACAAGCAGCGAGCCTCCTGCGCCTCCTGCGCCTCCTGCGCCCACCAAGGGCAAAGGCAGAGGCAAGGGTGGCGGCGGCAAGGCCAAGGCTAAAGCCACGACGGCCCAACCTGCGGAGACCGACGTCGTCGCTGGCATCGAGGTGCCGCCTCCTCGCGGCAAGAACGCGAAGAAGGGCAAGACCAAAGTCGCTTCCTCAAAGGCCGAGGACACTCCCGCTCCGAACGACTTGCCAGACGAAGAGCTTCCTTCCGACGGTGAAGCGCCAGCGAAGCCGAAGCCGAAGCCGAAGCCGAAGCCGAAGCGTAAGACGAAGTCAAAGGCCAGCGTGGACGACGCTCCAGTGGCTCTCGACCCAATTTCCGGTGAGGTCGTTGAACCATCCGGCGACGTCGTTGAACCATCCGGCGACGTCGGCAAGCCCGGTGACGTTGACTCTGAGCCAAGTTAGTAAACAGTTCGTCTTATATTAAATTGGACAACTTACTGACGCTTGCACAGCTCCTTCCGCTCGCAAGAGAGCGCTGTCCGAGATGTCGGACTTGACCGTCCAGTCCTCGTCAAGCGAAGACGGTCCGCCTGTCCGCAAGAAGACTCGCAAGCACGCTCCTCCGGTCAAGAAAGAGCCCCCGCCCGCACGCCCATCGAAGAGGCCCGCTGACGAGCAGCCGGAGGATGCCGTGGTGCCGAAGACGCGCAAGACCGACGCGGACCAGTCGGCCGGGACTTCATCGAGTGGCCGCGCAAAGGGCGATCCCAAGAACCGCCGTGCACCTCCCATCGATGATGAGGAGGAGGCCGAAGCTGACGTCGACAGCGACGCCGACCCCGATGAGCAGCCAGAGGAGGAGGACGAGTTCGACCTAGCCGCCTTGGCAGCCGCACGCAAGGCGAAGAAGGAGAACGCTAAGCTGTTGGTCAAGGTGCAGGCTGCGGTAAGCTCCTTGTACATATATTGCGTCGACAGCTACTTACCAGAGCTACCAGATGCCCGAGGTGATCAAGACGGCCGACGTTATCAGACCCGGCGTCAAGGCCCCGAGCCGCCGCGTCTCGAAAGGTGGAGTTCCCGAGAACTTGGACGCGGAGGTCGTCCCGTCGTCGACGGACGGTGAATCCGACGCCGAAGGCGATGATAAGGCGCCGCCGCCCAGGAAGTCTGCGCCGCCGCCAGCCAGGAAGACGGTGTCGCAGCTGCCACCGGCTGTGAGGAGGTCCGTTCCACCGGCGAAGCAGGTTGCGACTTCGCGCAAGGGTGCGGCGCCTGTAACGCAGTCGCACCCTGCCGGTAGGGTGAAGGCCCAGCCTGCACTGAAGGTAAGCGTGTGATAATCTTTAAGTTCAACCATTTACTGACATACCTATGTAGATCATTGTCAACGACGAGGACGACGACTCGCAAGAGGTGATCGTCATCTCGGATAGCGATGATGACCTCAAGCAGGCGTCAGCGACCAAGTCGGCGAAGGCTAAGGTAAGCGTTCACCTGCGGTTGCGATTACCTCGCGCTGACTATTTGCAGGGCAAGCAGCGGGAAGTCGTGAAGGTCAAGACCGAGGTCGAGGACGTCGACATGGGGGACGCCGGACAGCTCCTCCAGCCAACGGCCAACCAGAGGTCCCGATCTAGGTCGAGGTCCAAGTCAGCGACGCCCGTGGAAACTCGAAGGGTAAGGAATAACTTAGCTTGTTTTTTTTTCGATACTGACTCGTTGTAGGCCAGAGAGCAAGGAGGGGACAGCGACTATAGCAGCGTTAAAGAGGTACGTCGTCTAGTTATGGTACGTACGTACCGGGCGGGCGCGTGTGCGCACTTAAGGGGGGGACCCGCGAGAGCCCCTCTCAGAACAAGACGCTACCCAGGGATCAACCCGAGGGATTTATGCGCTCGTTACGGAGCTGCGCGGGGGGGAGGAGAGGGAGGGAGGGGACTGTTGACGGGGTCCGGGGGACATCGCGGTCGGTGGCGGGAAGACGCAAGGCGCGTGGGAGGCACCAAGGCGGCGAGGTCACGTCATCACGCGCCTACAA